GCTCCCTTGAACTTTCCATGCTGTGTCTGAAAGGTTTGGCAGTGCGCACAGATGGCTGTGGTGTGTTGGCCTCGTGTTTTGAATTGTTTTGAGAAATTTCCAGGAAATCGCAAACATCTGATTCATGAAGTACACGGAAATCGGACGCATGATACCAGAAAAGTGCACGTACTAGAATTCCCAAAAAGTGAAGGTGGATGAAGAGTAATCATGAAACTGAAGGCAGCAGAGAGAAGCAAGTGGAAAAGCTGTAGGTGTGTGAATGTGTGTGTTTGTGTGTGTGCTGAGTTGCAGCAGGAATCTTGGCAGCTCTCCTGTGTTGCTCAGTGAGTGGTCATTCTCCTCGCGTCCCCGTGTGATTCGTTCTGGCCCTGCCGGGCCAGCTGTGATGAATCGGCAGAATTCCCCAGCTCAGCACAAGGGCAGCGGATTAATCATAGGAAGTCTAATGCCATCTGACACACACACACACACACACACACACACACACACACACACACTCTCATTCAGTCAACTTGCCACCCATGCACATGGTTGGACGAGCGCATTAAGGTCTGGAATGAAGAAATAAAGAGAAGGCTTGGCTTGAGAGTCCTATTAAACAGTCCTGTCATTCTTTCTCGGTGACTTGGCCGTGCAGCAGGTGGTGCATAACTTTGCAAACGTTCAAGTGCTGATCTTACATCACTAAAGAAAGAAAACGAAGGAACAAAAACATTCATTTTGTTCATAGTGAAGCTTTTGTCCAAACAAGGAAAATGAGCAGAGAAGAGAAGGAAACGCTGCCTACGGGTTCCCATAGCCTCGGGAGTTCTTAACGCTGGCTTGCTGTGACAGGCGGGGAATGCCAAAAAGTGGAACTCATCATGTGTCGAGTCTGAAAATGAATCGGTAACGGAGTGCTGCAAATACGTGGGAATTGTTTGTCCTGTGTCTGCACGTGTTCCTGAATCGGGAGCAGTGGTATGGATGAGCAGCGCTAGAGGAATGCTTGTATTACAGCATTCATCGTCAGGGGCACGGCCCGGGCATTGTGCTGGTCAGCGAAGGCCGTGTTGTTCAGTCAACTCGCTAGATGATGTGTTCAGCGCCAGCATGCCTGACTGCTGACGACTGACTGCTTTCTCACTTCGTTCTGCGTCCGCTTCAGTTGTTCAGTGTTTTCCTTCAGTCTGTGTGACCGAGTCACAGATGGAGGCTGTGATTCTGTCACACATGTATGCGACGACTGCTCATGGTCAGAGTTTCAGATACGGAGGTCGTCGTATGTGCAAATACTCTCTAAGAGCTCTAAACTGCTGCAAACACCCAGTGTTGGACTTGCGTGATGTGAAGAGATCATGATGTGAGGACGTGTGCTCCACCCACCTGTTCTTCTAACCTTCTGTTCACAATCAGGAGCAAAGTTTCTTAAAGAAAGAGGAGCTAAAACTGCTTCTTTCAGATAGCGGGTGAGCTAAGCGGCTGCACCAAGGCTCAGTAGGAGAAAAGTGGACTATTTTAAACAAAGTTATTGCAGTACGGTCCAAAAATAAAAGTCGGGCCTGGAAATGAGCACAAACTTTAAAGTCCTGCTCCACTCATGAAGTTAAAACCAGAGACCAGGATATGAAATTATTTCAAGAATTGTTCTTAAATTGATGTCTTGTGTGGAAAACAGCTGACAGAAATTATTATTCAGCTCAGTTTTTCCCATATTTAGATCCAGTCTACAAACACAATTTGATTTTCTCATTTTCTCTCAAATCTGTTGTTTTCCAGGGGCTCAGGTGGACAGTTTCCACACTCCACCTACTACTCCACAGAACGACGGTGCTGTTTTCACAACCAGTGCTCCCCAGCTTCCGTCGTCCCCTACCATCTCAGTTTCATCTCTACCTCCAGTACCGGTCACCACTGGCAAGAAATCGCAGCATGGCACGCCAACTACTCCCAGCGCTCGCAGTCCCCCTCCGGATTGGAAGCCTCGTCCGCCGGTCAGCGCAAACAGCTCCGTGGTTAGCGCTGGAGTTAACCCGGCGAACAGCAAGCCAGCCGGTGCTGTGGCCGTGAGTGAGAAAGCTACTGTAGGGAGGAACGGTGGTCCTCCTACTTCTACACCCAGGATTCCTGTCACCCCAGAGAAGAGCGTGCCTGTCAGTCCTATAAAGAGCCCCTCGTCTCTGTGTAGTGCCTCACCTGTGGTGGGCAGATCTTTGGGGCAAAACTGGAGAGAAAGGGACAGTGGTCTGAGTCAGTCTCTGCCGCAGTGTCAGGAAACGAAGGACGGCCAAAGCGAGGAACTGGAGAAGTTGCTGGAGGAGTGTAAGCTAGCTCTGGGAATCACTGCCAGTGAGGACGGGAGCACAAACACAGCAGGTGAGAGTGAAATCAGCCTTATTATTATAGTACTAGTATTTCAAATTTCTAAATATCCCCTCCCTAAATAAGCACTGCAGTAACACCCCCAGCAGGCCTGTTGTTTGAGTGCTACAACTCTGCATTTCGATGTGGGCCGAACGTTTGTCTGTTTTAAGAAGGGCAAGTCAATTTCCTTGACATTCTTTGTGTTTTATATGCATGTGATGCTGCCTGACATTTCTGTGACCTTCCCTCAGAGATACTGAAGCATCTGCTGACAGAAGTGAAGAGTCTGAAGAGTACATTAGAGGTGAGATGAGCTTGAAAGTTTTCTCCTCGGACACCGACCGTGCACTTAACTCTTCCCCCCAAAGAGACGTTATCCCGTCATTCTCTATAAACTAAAGTTTGCATATGAATATGGCAACATTTTGGAGTGAGGAGCTTTGGTACTGGATGCCTTCTAGTCGTAATGACCAGGCTCCAGCCCCCGTGAAGGATGCGTTTGCCTAAATCCCAATAAATTGACTTTTTAAACTTCTTGTATGATGACAGGAAGTCTTTGCTTTGATATCCACCGGCTAGATTATAAGCTGTGACCATAAACGTTTCATCTGGGGTCCCACTGCCAGTCTTGTGTTGTTTAAAGCCTCCTTTTTTCATCCTGTAATTAGTCCTGTGTTTTATTTACATGACGCACCTTTGTTGCAGCATAACTGAGCGAGTAAAGTACATGCATTTGTAAACAGGAAGTGATGTGCAGGTCAGTGTAATATGACCTGTGAGCTAAGAGGTAACACTAACACATACGGTACCATCACAGCCCACACTTTGCTCCCCTTTAACGACAACAGAGTCTTCAAGTGGAGTCTGCTTCACCCCCCGGGGGCTGCAGCTGTGCTAATGAAGGTCTTCCTGTCCTTCCACAGGAGGAAAGTCGTTCAGATTATTTTCTGTCCAACAAGATAGTTTATCAAGGACGCTCGCCTTTGATATCAGAGGCAGCTGCACATGATTGTTGGTCCTTCTGATGAGACAACATGCGACTGTTGTCGCTGCTGTATAAATAAAAATGAACTGAACTGAACGGCAAACACAAAAGGGTTAATAATAATGAAGACGTGACTTTCAACCTGAAAGGTGGCGCCTGTTCACGAGAGACTCTCCGGCTATGTTCGATATGGATAAAATCAAATTCTGCAGCGCTTCTTTAGTTCATTTCTCCTTCATTCTGCGATCTTAGGAGGACGGTGATATTCTTGAGTAATTTCCTGTCAGTTATTCGTTCCGATTCCTGACCCTCCCTTATGAGGATTGTAGCCAGAGGCTTCCAGCTTCCTCTAGATCTGCCACAGATTACGACAGCTGGACTATGACACAGCGGCGCCCCTCCCCGTCCCCATCGCATTTTCTTCTCTTTCTTCTCTCCTCCCCGTCCTCTCGTCTGCTCTTTTATTTTTCTCATGTATTTGAATTCTTTTAATTGAACTGCGCACGTCATCGTTTTTACCTTCCAGCTCATCTATTGCGCGCCTCCTTGATGTCAGCTCTGCCTATTTAATATTCAAACTGTCCAAACACTCCTTTCTTTACTTTGTCTTTCTTCCACTTTCCCACATCCTTGTAAACGACCTAGAAATATAAGCCTCGCACGGTCCAGCTGAAGCTCAGAGGGACTGTGGTATAACGCAGCGAGAGGGCTCAGTGTTATGGAAATCATGGCAATCCAAACCCGTGTTTACACGAGCCCTCTGTAGGACGATATAAGCTAGCCAGAGCTCAGCTCTATGAACCCTCCCTGCCTGCTCTGCAGTGCCGACATCCTTTGTGTGGAGAGCAGGAGAAGGGGAGTGCAGGGCGGAGGAGGGGGTTCACATTCGGCCGTTTCCAAGACAAAACTTGTTTTGTTTTGTGCTGTGGTGAGGTAGAAGGGCTGCAGCTTGCAGTGACCCACTGGCCATGTTTTGTGCGTGTGCACATGAAAGACTTACAAACACATGCACCAGAGGCCTCCCCCCTCCCCTCAGCCCCCAGCTGGGCCTGTTGACCGCTCCACCCCGAGCACAAGACTGAAATGAGCGATGGCTCTCCCTCTCTTCCTTCCTCTGGATGCTTCCAACCCCCCCTCTCCTCTATTCTGCATTCACCATCCATCTTTTCGTCTGACCCCACCTCGCTTAAGCCGTTTCCTCTTCAGATCTGACCCCATTTTTGACCCCTTTTTTCCTCGTAATTTAAGTAGCTGTTATTTTTCCAGTCACATTCAGACAGATAAGCCTCCCTGATGTGCTTTCTTCATCTGTCCTCAGCACTGCTTTTCCTAATGCTCCTTATCTGTCTCTGTCTACCCGGCAGCAATAATGTATTTTCCATTTCTTTGTAGTTAAACTGAATTCTAAAGAAAGCCACATGATTGCCCATTGTGCAACGAACTGCTAAGGATGTTATCGAATGTAGCATCTGTTTGTGCTTATGAGCATGACAAGCTTTCAGGTTTCTTAACCAGCAAAAATGAAAATACTCCAATCGTGGCTGTTGTGGGGGTGGATGGTCAGATTTGTGTTCCCTGCTGGAGTCGATCTCAAAGCATTTGGAATCAGTTCCAGGTGAACGCTGGCCGAGATTTCCTGAAATGATCTCCAGGTTC